GACAGGAGTCTAGGAGTGAGTGCGCGAGGTGGTTATAAAAGGCTCTCCACCCCCAAAGAGGAGGTAGGCAAACTTTGCGCTATCTGGTTTTACCTTGCCTTTGAAAGATTCTAACTTAAGCTTCGGAGCCTTTACACCGGGTTCCCCCCAGAGCTTCCTCATCTCCTCCGTTTCAGGTTCTCTGCTACTCAGTTCAGAGGCAAGGTCGTTGACAGCTAAGACCGGCCGGATTGCGCATCATCAGTAATGTTTTAAAAACCAATCCAGAGGCCGAATTATTTTTGCCTCTTGGTCACTGATCATCAGTTCAACCGACTGTGTGTGTGTATAAATATATATTTAAATAATGTATAAATATGTTTTAGATATGTTATATGTATTATTTTATATTTAATTCATGTTTTTAATTCAGTTTTTAATTTTGTATTTATAAAAAAATATTAAAAAATGCAATTTGAGGCTAAAAAATAATTTATTTTGTGAAAATAGCGGGACAAGGTGCCTACGATACCTTGGGATGTATAGATCTCAAAAAATTACCCAAAATAAAAAGAAAAACCCCAATCAAACATCAGAGTGCAAAGTTATAACCTACAAAAGTTTGTATGCATTGAATAATATAACCTACAACCTGGTCCGGTCATGAGATGAATGAATCAATGGTCGAACCGACTAGTTCTTGACCAGGTCAACAGTTTTTAACCGTCTGACGAATCTTGAGTCTTGACTGAATTGGACTCAGAATTTTGGCTAGTAACGGTTCCAACAATTTTACTGACCTAGTGACAGCGGGTTGAAAACATTGCCTAAAATGTCCAATTCAGTGTTCAACACTGCATTTACAAACCTGCTTGAAGTTTGAACCATCGGAAATTGGAACAACGTCTATTTTGAGTAATTGGGTTGTTGCGAGTTGTAGCTCGACACACCCCGGTCACCAACTCACCGGGTCACCGTTCGTTAAATAGCTCTTGTACTTCACTAATATTAAGATGGCAAGTCAACTACCCCACCAACCTGTTCATCGAATGGGTAGTCCAATGGGCCGGCCCTACCCCCGGATGGGCTTGCACATAGATATTATCCCACAGGTTTGACCTCGGGCTTAAAAGCCCGAGTCTAACTATTTTACAGGCCAGGCTCGGGATTTGCCACAAAAGCCCGGCCCGGCCCGACTTTAATATATAGCTTTTAAACCTTAACCCTTCTCATATTTCATTCTTTCTCACTCTCAATTCTAACCGATGCCACTAGTGACCGACGATGAGTTCGTTCCCATTTCCCTCTTTTCATTCTCCACCCTTCCTCTATTGGCGTTGGAACCGTCGTCGTTGACATCCTACCAGGGAATACCAGCGAAGACAACCTCCGCTACAACTTACAATCACTCATGGTGAGTCCGCTACAACTTACAATCACTCACTCAGATTATCGAGAACTTAGTCGGACGGAACCGCACATCGTCGTCGTCGTGAGTCTCGTGACAACCTCCCTTTTCCGGCATGTGACGACTTTTCCTTTTCTTGGATTTTTCTTGTGGGTCCAATTGATATCCATTGTTGATCGCAACCCAGAAGAAAAAAGGGAAATTTGTTCATCTACAGACTCTCAATGATTTTGCTTGAGCCCGTGATGATGTAAAAGAAGAAGAATGCAACACCTTGTCTCATTCCGTCACCATTGCGCCGCTATTTTTTTTTTTTTATTTTAACTACATACACCAATGTGAATTCTATCTGCATCTAGTTTTTTCACCGTGCCCATGGTTTTTGTGTAATTTCAAAACAGGAAGGCAGTACTCAACTCTAGTTATTTTGAATGGTCTACTAAATGATGACCAAAAAGAAAAATAAGTTTTACCTGTTTCTCTCTTCCTTGATGTTTTAATTCAATTGTAGATGAACAATAGATGATTGTTTTTCCTTTGCACCGAGCAACAAAATTGTATACACAGTCAGGCTTTGGATTCGGGCTCGGGCTTTGAGCTTTTTATGAAGGCCGGGTTCAAGTCTAAATTGTAGGCTCATTGGTCGGGCTGGACTCGAGCTCAAGCCTAAAAAAATCCTGTTAATAAAAAGTAAAAGCCCGGCCCAAACCCAACCCGGCTCAGCCCATGAATAAGTCACCACCACACACATATTCCCTTCACCTTCGTTAGGAACGAAGAGAAAAAAAAATGTTTCCAACTTCTCCTTTGGCAGTAAGCATTAAGTAATAAACAATGTTACGACTTCATAAATACGTGGGTGTAAATTTTCCTCCATTTCACAAAGTCGGTTTACTTATTAACCAGTTCAAAGCAAACCAGGAAGTAAGTCATTCATATTGTCATATTTGGCAATTCTTTTTAAAAGATCTTTTGACAGTTCAAAGTTGTGAATCTAAACTTTTACATTAAGATCTTAAAAGTCCAAATGGACTTTCCTAAAGATGTAACTTCTATTCATCAAGGTCCAGGGCCGCATTCTTCAGAGTTGAGACTTGAGATAGTGCCTTTTTCCAAAATGAGATGCCGGTCAAGATGGTTGATCAGAAGACGGTTCCTTTTCCAACCATTATTTATTCCCCTGGCCCCGGCGACCCAAATTATCATTTCCTCCCTTAAACCATAAACCTGGTCAGCATATCTTCAGCATATCCACACCTATCTACTTAGTTTTACTTCTTCCATCACAAATCGTTTGCATGTAGCTTACAATTAAATACACCTATATATATATATATTAATGACATGCCAAGAGGCAAGACTCTAAGAGAGATCAAAGAGACAGAGAGAAGAGAAGAGAGTACAGAGGATAAGGCATGGGTGAGGTGGTGGAAGTAAGTTCAGTCCCAACTACACCGAGAGCCAACGTGGCGTCGACGACTCCACCCATCTCGGCACCTCCCTCACAGTACCATTCTCCGTCCCTGTCTAGATCGCCTCTCCTCTCCGTCGAAACAACAGAGCATAAAAGCAAGACCCCCAGACTCTCTCTAACTCCGCGCTTCATCACCCCTCTGGGCAGCCCCATAAGGAAGGCCCTTCACCTCACCAAGCTCGACCCACAAGACGCTTGGCTTCCCATCACTGAATCCAGAAATGGAAACGCCTACTATGCTGCCTTTCACGCTCTTACCTCCGGTATTGGAATTCAAGCCCTCATTCTTCCCGTAGCATTCACTGTCCTTGGATGGTAAGCCTATATCTTTTAATTTCGTGAAGTAATCTTTCTCTAGAATATTAATTCATTTTTTAACAAGAATTGGCAAATACAGGAGCTGGGGAGTCATAACTTTGACGTCGGCATTCATCTGGCAGCTGTACACCCTATGGATACTGGTCCAACTCCACGAGTCTGAATCTGGAACGCGCTACAGCAGATACCTCCAACTCTTCAATGCAACTTTTGGTAAGAAAACGGAAAATGAGGCTTTCAGCCTTTCATTGAATATGCAATATTTGAGGAACGTTCTGGTACGAAAGTAAAATCTCAACTAAATTCTCAGGTGAGAGGCTAGGGAAATTGCTAGCGGTATTCCCGATCATGTACCTATCAGGGGGTACGTGTGTGGCCTTGATCATCATCGGAGGCTCCACCATGAAGCTCTTCTTCCAGATAGTATGTGGGGCCACATGCCATGCGAAGCCATTAACAAACGTAGAGTGGTACCTGGTCTTCACCTGTGCTGCCGTCCTTCTATCTCAGCTCCCAAACTTGAACTCCATCGCCGGCGTTTCGCTTATCGGCGCCATCACGGCCGTCGGCTATTGTACGCTGATATGGGTGGTGTCTGTCACCGAGGGCAGAATGCCCGACGTGTCGTATGATCCGGTGAAGGCCAAATCCGAGATCGCCCGGATTTTCGGGATATTCAATGCACTCGGGATTATAGCTTTTGCTTTCAGGGGCCACAATCTCATACTTGAGATACAGGTAAATAGTTATCCCCTTCTAATTTTTCAATGAATAAATTGAAAAAGTGAAGGGAAACGCTCGGTTTGTCACCCATCTCTTCAAAATATTTGGCCAGTTGGTTTGACAAGTCTTAATGCGGTTCTTTTAGCTTGGACAAATTTGAAAAAGTGACTTTTTCTATTGGATTTTAATAGAGATTAAATTTAATGGATTTGATTGGTCAATTATACGAGAAATTGCACTTACACACTTGATTGTAAAATTAGCTTTTCTCTTACAAAATCCAGTTTTGAACTTGTTCACATTAGAAAATTATAAGTTTTGTTTTCAGTATTTTAATAGGAGCTGATTTACACTCCTTAAAAATAGTAGAGGAGAGTATGGGTGTGCACAGCATAATGAGGTGCACTTTGCTCGCACCCGTGTGGCTCGCGAAGGACGGCTTTGATTTTGGTGTGATGTTGACCGTTAATCACCATTGATGAGATCAACGGTTACGGTTCGATCAGGTGTGATCAAGAAACATAATTCAAAGTTAACAGTCATTAAAGGTTTCTTCGAAGATTCTTCAACTTTGTTGGTTACTGACCCCATTTTCTAACATTTTCTATTTGGTCACTAAGGCTACACATACAAATGTGAAAGAGTACAAAACGTTATATTTTGTATTATTTAATTTATATGTATTTATATTATATATATTTGCATTTGTACTCTTTTCAAACTGAGCCTAAAAGATAAGAATAAGATGGAAAATGATGAATTTCAAAAAACTTCAAATGAAACTTTTCAATTTTTAAAAGCCCAATATACCTTTGTCTTTAAAGACAAGACCTTAAGAGCTAAATGATTCTTTCAAATTCCAATCATCTGAAGTGCTGCTAAATGAAAGACTTGCCAGGCAACACGTAGCGTCTGTTTAGTATCAACGCTGTTGCTCCAAAAAACGGTGATATATTAGTGTCATGTCGGAATAAATGGTGCTCTAAAAAATGTCTATTTGTTTGGAATCTATAAAAAACAGTGCTCTAAACCATGTCATAAAAATCAAGAAGGCGTAGTTTGAAGCAATGCCGAATTTAATGTTTTCTCAAATTACAGTTCATTACTTCCAATGCACACATTAGGCTGTATCTACAACATTGATGCCAAACATATACTTAATTTCTGACATATAATAGTCCTTTTATTTGCAAGGCCACAAGACCCAAGAACTGATAACCATCTGTGGCTTTACTGAATGGTTGTAAACTGAAAAAGCCGGAACCAACAAACTAGTCCGACCAAAGTGGGCCGTTCTGTTATAGATGTTGGCTTATTTCTGTTAAACTTGTCCAGATATATTCAATTTGACTTATTTATTTGAATAAAGCATGATTAAATTAAACTACAAGATTTGGGAGTCATGAGTCCTCTATCTCAATTGTCAAAACATTGAGGCAAAACCTTTGACAATTGAGTAGCCGAAGATGCTGACTGGCCATTATTATATTATTATAATACTGAGCACTTATAATTAGCTAAGAACAAAAATAACATCGAGTGCTGTGTGGTTAATTTAAAAGAAAAATTCCATTGTTTGCAGGCCACAATGCCTTCAAGTGAAAAGCATCCATCGCGGGTGCCCATGTGGAGAGGTGTGAAGGCTGCATATGCACTCATTGCCATTTGCTTGTTTCCCCTTGCAATAGGCGGCTACTGGGCTTACGGGCACAAGGTATATAACAGTATTGAGGTTGCTTATTTATTAGCAAAGTTAACTATTGAATTAATTTTTTAAATTTGGGATTTTTTAGATTTTGATATGGGAAAAGTTGGTCTTGGTGTCTATCAATTAAGATATTAATATTTTTTTTTTCAGATTCATGTGTGGGGTTGATGAAAAATTTATTTTTTCTGGATATTATTTAGGGAAATTTCCAAATTAGTACAATGTATTTAGGGCCTAGTGCCACTTTAATCCCCGAACCTTAAAATGCGACAATAAAGTATTCAAACTTCTAAAACATAATAATCCATTAACTATCATTAACTAGCTGTTAAGTAGCATTTAAAAAAGACATAAATACCCTTCAAGTGTTATTTAATTTTCTTTATCATCCATCTAAACGTTGACAAAAAATTAACAGTCATAAATCTTTGCCTTTTCCATTCAAGAAAGTTGGTTAGCAGCTAGTTAACAGAAGGTACTGGATTGTCAAGTTTTAAAAATTTGAGTACTGAATTATTGCATTTTAAAGTTCGGGAACCAAAGTGGCACTAGGACCAAAGTATAGGGTACCAATTGGGAATTATCTCTATTATTTATCCGGATAATGGATAAATAATTTTCTCACCAATTTAGGAATAAATTATAAATAAATGCACTTAATATTAAACACTTACCTGGGATAAATAGCTTCTCAAAAAACAAATGGGGCCTTGGATGAATGAAAAATAAATAAAAATAAATAAAGCCATGCTTAATGTGCTTAATTAATTTGCATGATTTTGATGGCAGATACCTCCAAACGGCGGGATGCTAACTGCACTGTACGCATTCCACGGGCGTGATACCTCAAGGGCTGTCCTTGGGTTAACAAGCTTATTGGTGGTGATTAACGCAGTGAGCTCCTTCCAGATCTACGGAATGCCCATGTTTGACCACATGGAGTCCCAATACACCAGTAGGATGAAGAAGCCATTGCCGTGGTGGCTACGTGCAGTTTCTCGGGCCATGTTCGGTTACGGTTGCTTCTTCATAGCGGTCGCTATCCCCTTCTTGGGAAGTTTGGCAGGTCTGATCGGAGGGCTGGCTTTACCTGTAACCTTAGCTTACCCATGTTTCATGTGGGTGGTTATTAAGAAACCCATGAGATTTAGCAAAATGTGGTGCCTTAATTGGGGGCTGGGACTCTTGGGAATGGGTCTCAGTGGCCTTTTGGTCGCCGCTGGAGTTTGGAGTGTGATTGATACCGGCATTAAAGTCAGCTTCTTCAAGCCTCAATAAGCCACAGAAAAGTCAGATAATTAAGAATAGGGTAGTTGACTTTTTAATGTTTCTATAGCTTGTTGCTATATATGCTATTAATTCTAACAGAAGCAGAAGAAACATTTGTTTTCATATGCTATTAATTCTAACAGAAGCAGAAGAAACATTTGTTTTCACATGCTATTAATTCAAAGTACTTTTTTTTTCTTCCCCTACAAAAAATCTCTCTATGATGTCTCACTCTTGTATAAACTTTTTATCATTTCTGTTCAATGACTCTGCAGAGAAGATTTTGTAATTTTGTGTGTTAATGTATAAAGGGTGATTTACTGAGGAATCGTTTTGGGATTTGTTCCTCACAGAGCTCTCTTAATATTTTCTTATAAATAACAACACATAAGTATAATGTCCTATGAGATTGGTGTGAGGAGAATATAATATATTTGTTTGAAATGGTCGTGTAACCTCTTAAAACAGTTCATTCCAGGAATACCCCTAAACATAATAAATCAGATTTCTTCTCAAAACAAATAATTAAGAAAGAGAAACACCCAAGGACAAGGAGTACAAAGCTCAGCCAGATATTTTGTCTTTGCCCATTTGGGATCGGTCACAAATCTTTGCAAACAAAGCTCAACCAGAAGTAAACTTCAAGTGTTTTTATTAGTGGTCTTCTCATGGCTGACATTAGTCCTTGGAAGTCTTTCTTCCAAAGCTCTTTCCTTACCTGTTTGGTAAGCTTCTCTTGTCTTAGGCTGTCGGGCTTCCACAGAGTTCCTTTCTCCGCATCACCCAACATGTTATCATAATGTTGCATTGCAGCTCTTCCATGAAGCGTTTCTTCTCATGTTTCAGTTGTTTCTACTCAGTATAACGCAGTTTACTTGAGCTCTCTTTGTTTCAGAAGACACTGCTCCACACGATGATCCAGAAACCATCTTTATCTTTACATTGATGTTGTTTGAATCATAAACGTCATGAAGCTGAAGCATCATTTGGGAGCAGTAGGGGTGTCAACGAACGGGTTTTGGCTTCCACCTGTCCAAATCAAAATCAATTTGGATAGATTGGATGAACTAATAAAACATTAAATTGAACCAGTTTAGACTTAATAGTCCAAAATATTTATTGGACTGGATTTGGCTTAATCCATCTATAATGAATTCATATTGAATTGATCGGATTGAACCAATATCCAGTCTATTGATAGAAAATAAGAATACAGGTGTGAATAGACCATGTTTGGGTATAAATTGAAACCAATTTGAATAGATGGGATGGTCTACACATTGAATTGGACTCGTCCAAAATGATTCAAAGTATTCTTCAGATTGGATTGAACCTTATCTATAATGGATTCTTATTAGATCAGATCGGATTGGACCAACTCCAATCCAATTAACACCCCTAGCAGGAATCAATAATATCAAACTTCTACTCCGAACTTGTCCCTGACTGACACTTCCGGTGATAACTAGTATGGTCTCCATAGAATCTTAGAAAACCATATAGTCTAATAGTCTTCTACCTGAAAAAGCATTTCTTATCCCTTTCTGTTTTTACTGTTGTCCCTTTTCCTCTTTTTTTTATCATCTTACGATGTTTATCCATTTTCTATCTATTCTTTCGGAAAAGAACTTAGGGCTGTTTGGTTTATAGTTAGAATTGGAATTGAAATGATTTATTCCCATAGTCTGTTTGGTTTACATAGGATCAAAATGGGAATTAGAATCAGCTGAAAGGGGATTTTATTCCAAAGGGAAGAGAGGGAATGACCATCAAATAGGGGGGGAATGCCATTCCAACAGAACTGAAAATGAGATTCTAATTCTGACCAACCAAACAATTACAATCCGAATAGCCCATTCTAATTCCAATTCTAGACCCCTAACCAAATGGGCCCTTAGAAGAAAGAGGACTCGATATTTCAGTGGGATACTTTTTGATCCATGGGTTCTCTTTTTTTCAAAATAGATAAGCCCATCTCAAAAGAGGACTAGAAGAAAGAGCAGGAAGAAGAAGAGATGGCAGATAAATGTTCTTCTTCACTTCTTTACTAGAGATATATGTGGACCCATGATGCAAGGTCCAATGACGTTCAAGATGGTGTCCACACCAAGAACCAGTTTGCAAGGGAGCATTATTTGGAGCATTGTATGAAATAGGGCATAAGTGGATCAACCCGTCTTGTTGGACCAATTGTCATCTGACGTCAGGTTTGATCCCTGGCATGTTGACTCTTAGGCCCTGTTTGTTTTCCACTCACCAACTTTACAATGTTTTATTTGTTTTTAATAAATATTGCGCTTACGGTAAAGTTACCATTCACCAACTTTACATTATTCTTTTTCCAATAAGTATTGCACCCACGGTGAAGTTAATTTTATTTATCCGAGTAAAATTTATCTATCTCCCAAGTGGGTAAATATGTTTCCCAAAAGTTTATAAAACATAATAAGGCAAATTTGCCCATTATAATATGGATTTTTTATGAATAAAAAAAGTCATTATATTACTTACACGAGGATTAGAAAAAACATAGGTAAGTGAAAACTTACTCGGATAAGTATTACCTAGGTAAGTATAGTTACCTGAGTAAGTGACCAATTTGTAAATGAACAAGACCTAATAAGGGCAAAATAGTTGCAAATATAATCAACATTTCAGTACAACCATGCTTAGAAATAGCAGAAAAGCCTTTCAACACAACCATTGTAGTAGATTGGGACAAAATAGTTCCATATATTCATTCATGGAAAATAGAAAAAATAATTTTTTTGTCCGAAATAATAGAGGGGAAAAATAATTGCAGATATTGATGTTATTTGTTAACAGCTCAGCAGCCATTAGTCTAACTTGAGTCAAAAATGTAATTTTATACTTCCCTTAAGGCTAAGTTTGGAAAGAGCATAAATGCAAATATATAATGTAAATATATACAAAATAATACAAAATACAAGATTTCGCATTCTACATATTTATATTTTTACTTCTTCCGAACTGAGTCTAAGGTTTAGTTTGGGAAGAATAGAAATACAAATATGTATGGTATAAAACCTTATATTTACACTGTATATACTTGCATTGGTATTCTTTCCAAATTGAGTGTAAGGCCTAGTTTGGAAAGAGTACAAATCAGGATTTTTAAAACTGAACAAGACAATGAATCAGTCAGGGGTCCAGTTCCTAGGTTAAATGGTTTGACTATTTGAATAAGATTTGCCAAAAAAACGTTGGTTTGACCATTTGAATAAAAATTAAAAAATAAAAAATAAAACAAAAATGGTCAAAAATGCTGAATGGTTCGACTACCCGAGTCAACGATTTGCTGACCAAACCAACGTTTTTTTGGCAAAATAATAGTTTTGGGCTAAAACGGAATAGTCACTTGACCGGTTCCCAGTTTCCGATCTGATCATCTAGTCTGATCCGATTTTGAAAACATTGGTACAAATACAAATATGTACAGTGGAAATACATAAAAAAAACAAGGTTTTGTACTCTATATTTTTGTTTTTGTACTCCTTCCAAACTAAGCCTTAGGCTGTGTTTGGTTACAATGTAAATAAATTTGCATTGATGCAAAACTATGACAGTGCAAATGATTTGAGTGTAAATTCTGACTTATTTTTGTTTCAAATTTTAGCTTATCTTGTTTGATCGTAGTACAAATAAAGTAAATTAAGACATGAAGCAGAATAAAGTAAAATCCAAAACAAAATTAAATAAGAATTTGCATGTTTTTTCATTTGCATTTCCATACATTTATACTAGTGCAAATAAAATTGCACTGCAACTAAACACAACCTTAGGCTCAGTTTAGAAGGAGTACAAACACAAATGTACAAAGCGCAAAACCTTATATTTTGTATGCATTTGAACTGTACATATTTGCATTTGTATTCTTTCCAAATTGAACCTTAGGTTCAGTTAAGAAAGAACACAAATACAAATATGCAGAATGCAAAACCTTATATTTTGTATTATTTATTTGTATCTGCTCTATACATATTTGTATCTACTCTTTCCAAATTGAGCCTAACTATTGAGTAAAAGAGATACAAATTACAAGGGTGCTTTGGTAATACACAAGCTACATGGGGTGTTTCAGTTAATACAGTAAAGTATGTGTACATGAGTATCTTATAAATTAGAAAAACTATGTATTTTGCATTTAATTATGCATTGTAAATTTGTAATGCAAGAAGTTAAAGACCATGTAGAATTGAGAATTGTTAATAAACCCAATGTTGGTCCCGGCTTTTTGGGGTCTTCCAAAGTGGTGAATTGGAAAACGACTTAACCTTGGCCATTTTGTTGAACGAAGTGGCCTGGCCACTCTCTAATAGATTTAAAATTAAAATCCAACGATCGCTTTTCTGCCCGATATTTTACCTATGAAATTGTTGAAATGTTCGAAATGGTTTTACTCGGTGTTTTAAAAATCGATCTAGAATTATAACTGTTCTGATCACCGATTTTTGGGTTGACGGTTTAACCGTTCAGTTAAAATAAAAGATCTATTTTTATGAAAAAATAAAAGAAATGGCCAAAAATTATTAAACAGGTTAAACGGGAGCAAGCCTGGATTGGGGATGGACTACCCCCGTTGTGGCTCTTGAAAAAATAAAATAAAATAAGATTATATTCTTAATATCATTTCATAACCTTTTTTTCTTAGGATTTAATTTATTTGATAATTTGAATATGCAAGTCAAGAAAAAGAAATATAGTTTGTATTTACTTTGTACGGCTGTTAATGTTATGCTTAAAAAGCGTAAAGCTACATATCATTTTTGGGCCGGGTATTGTCTTTCTTAGGCTAAACTCGATGAGAAGTAATATATAGGCTTGAAAGTGCTTGGATTGGGTGAGACTGGATCACATAAAAATCCTTATGGGCTTCATTTTTCAACCACGGGCGTGCTCCAGTTAAGTTTGAGCTTAGAATGACCTGGCCCATGTTCATTCTACTGCCTCAAAGGAGCCACATGCTCAATCCTGTGGAATAGTGGTAATGTGGTATTCTGGTTCTGTTATGCCTAGGGGATTTATTACACGGCATTTGGTTACACATTTCAATAGAAAGTATCTGGTATTCCAGAGGCAAAATGAGCAATCACTGCTTGCTTATCCACCTAGAACTGTAAAGTGGGCCAGTACAGTCCAATACGATATGGGCCATTCCAGGCCTGTCACTGTAGTAATTGGGCTTTGCCATGGTCT